ATGCTATACCATCAGCACTGTATTTGACAAGGATTTCCTTCCAGTTTGTGACTTGTCTTCAGTTTCTTAGCAGTGATCTTGAAGATCAGTTTTTAATTGTATTGAAGAACAAAGAGATAGTCTAAGCGTATGCCATATACAAAATTTTGGTCCAAGAGACAAAACAATAGCTAAACTTAAATTTGTACTTTGCCCTATTTCAGAAATTTGGTTTTTATTGGTTTTCATCCTATCTTTTCCTTATCTTACCATTAAAATTTCCCCATCAAACTGTATGTGGTAGCACATACCTGTAACCCCAACATTCAGGAGGCTTTGGCAGGAGGATCGCAACAGGCTCAAGGCCAGCCTTGGTTACATAGTGAGTTTAAGATCAACCTGAGCTACATAGTGAGATTCTGTTTCAAAAAAACAAAAAAAATGTTTTCCACATCATTGAATACTATTTGAAAACATGATTTATAATGTATACTATGTAGTATTCTCATTGCTATATCTTAACTATCCCTCTGTATTTGAGGAGCTTATGTTGATTAAAACTTTAAAAAATTACTCTCTCTTGTAGAGATCCCTCTGCACACATCTCCAGTTATGTTCTAGTATGAATGTTTATACTTGCAAAGACTGCGACAAAGGCAAAGAATTTATTTATAGTCATCTCTCCCAAAAGACCCCAGTGTCTTGAACCAGAAACATCTTACCCTTTTTTTCTTGCCATGGTATGGCAGAGCCAGTCACACTGTAGGTGCACTGTGAACACTTGAGGGCTGAATAATAGGAAAGAAAAAGAATTTCATTGAACCACATCCTCTACCCTTCCTCCTATCAAAGAAAATAAAACTTCCGTCTCCTGTAGACATCTACAGGATGTAAATGTGAGTGAAGAGAAGATGGCTTTCTTCTAAGAGAGCACTTGCTAAGAAGATGCAGGTTCCCAGAGCCGGGTACTGTTGCTGCTCACACATGCCCTGAAGGGGCCCCGCCCCTGTCCTTATAAAGCCAGGGTGCGGTGGGACAGCTGCAGCTGGCACTCCAAAGCACCACCAGCAAAGCACTGGCACAGCTATGGCAAATGAAGTGCAAGTCCTGCTGTCTCCACTCAAAGGGGGACATCCTCCTGCAGGTAGGCCCCCACTGCCCTCTGTCCTCTAGACTGCTACAGTTGCTGACCCTCCTTTCATCAGGAGTACCCCACAGAGTGAGGTCTCAACCACCCAAGCTCACTTCAACTTCCTGCAGTCTGATTTCTTCTGTGTCTTTGATCCTCCTTAACTTGTGCATGAAACCACTGGCGGTTTGTCAGGCAGGCCCCACTGAAACAAAGCGTACTGCTGTGCGGAGTATAAGGGAAAGGGATTCTGGGCTTACAGAAAGGAATATGCAGGAAAGTTGCCCCTTCCCTCCCTGGCTGCAGGTTAGTTGTAACACAACACACCTGGGTGATTTGCTACCAAGGAAACCTTCCTCTCTTGAAGTTCCTGCCCCCAGACTCAGTCTCCCCAAAATGCTTGCACTCCATCTGACTTCGTTCCTCATCTCTCTCTCCTACCTCGGGCTTTGGGTTTGGAGAGTGTTATCAGGAATGTAGTTTTCCCATCAACATTGAGAAGCACTTTTTAATATGGTCACAGGACCAACAGGGTGCTCACCAGAAAAGGTAGCAATCACCATATTTTGCAAAGCATCCACGGTTGTCCTCTTTTTAACATGCTCTTTACATCAACTCTCTGGAATATGGAAGTTAGTTTTATTGTACTTAATCATACATTCCTATAGGTTGGTGGGGATGAGCAGGCCTATTTTTAGTCAGTTTTATGTTCTTTCAACCGTCTTCCTTCTTTTTTCCTTACGAAGGACCTCAAAAGTTTGGCCACTATATACTTGCCTTTCTCCATGTACAAAACTTAGTTATTGGTGTGTAACTCTTTGGCACTTCTCATCGCAGATTATTTCAAATATCTTGGCCACAGAGAGGAATGGCAAGTGAGGGCAGATGTCACCTTCATAAAGGGTCAAACCTGACACAATTTCAGTGTTTCCTGGGGGGCAGTCCAGCTGGAAACAGGATCTTTTACTAACTCCTGGTTTCCAGTTTTAGACACCATGCCTTGCCCCCTTGGAACGGTACAGATGGTTTACACAAGTAACTGAACTTAGCAGTAGTTAGCATTATATTTAAAGGTAATGACACTAATGAATTGTCAAGAGCTACAAATGCAAATTACTGAAAGAGAAACTCATTATATAAGATGAAAGAAAAAAGAAAAAGACCCCGTTCTCTTCCCACAACTTCTACCCCATCCTTCATGAAACAGTTAAGCTACAGCCTGATTTGCTAAACTACATTTATGCACAAAGAATACAGAGATAGACTTAACCAAATGAAACCACCAGGAATTTTCTGTCCCCACCACTAATGATTGCTAATTACTCTGTGTACATAGCTCACCATGACTCCATCAAGCATGTCACAATGCCTCTGGCATGACAATTAATTATTACAAACTGTGACACTACAGATAAGAGGTTTTGGATAATTAGAATGGAGATGAAGGCAGACTTTTGCCTCCCCACTGAGCTCAAGAGAACAAAGAAGCCTCATCCTTCAGCTGGTCTCACCACATATCTCAGGTCTGAGTTTTCGTTGTATGGCGCAAAGGTTTATTTATGGAACAGAAATAATTAGGTGCCAACATTCGATTAAAACTTCACCTGATTTTAGTAGGAAAAATACAGATCCCTAAAAGTGGGAGGCCAATGAGATAAGATAGGGAAGAAATTATGACGTAGTTTTTAGAATGAGACAGACCAGCTTAAAACTTTGATTTCATTCCACATCTCTGAGCTTCAATTTTTCTCATCTTTGAAAAGGGGTTGAGAAATACCACCAATCTGATGAAGTGCCATCATATGATAATTAAGGGAGTAGTTATAAAGTACCTGGCAATTGAATGTGGCCTGCTTTAAAAGCTGGCCTAGTAAAACACATTGCAGTCAGCAGAAATTAGCCTCCCTAATGCAAAGACACTGATGGTGGACCTGCGTTAGGCACAACTGCAGTCATCAGAACAGAAAGAAACTGCAGTGAAAAAAACACTCAGGCCTGCCCTATTATAGTTAAAAATGAAGTCAATCAGCTGCAACTCTCCCCACTAAGTGTAGAGTGTTTAGCAGTTTTTCTTTCATGTGTACTAACAATAATAATATACATACGCCTCTGCTATAGCCCTGCTTATACATTTGTGCTAGGAAAACAGACAACAGTAAACAGGAGGTGGCCTGGGCACTAGGAAACATAGCTTTGAATTTTCTGCTCTTTTGATTTGTCCCACTCTTAGTTTTATAAGAACCCTATTATGTGAATGGCAGCACCAAAAACATGTGAACAGACAAGGGATCCATGGAGTCAAATATGTGATGCAAGCATGGCCATTGTCCATGAATTTTTCCTCTGTTCTCTGTACTTTTTCATGTGTTTTAAGACAAATCAATCAAAAGGATCATCACTGAATACGTAGAAAAGTTTTCTGATTTATTAAAGAAAGAGGGAAAAATCATGGGCTACGGTCAGCTGGACGACTGCAGAACAGCTGCCATTTGCTCAAGGCTGAACACATGGACATGGACACATGGACAGCAGAGAAACTTCTTGACCTGACAGCAGCCTTAATCCTTATCTATGATTAAGATGATGTTTCACAGAGCAATAAACTGAAACTCAGCAAGGTTAAGGAACTTGCCCAAAGCCGCACAGCCGGCATAGTGGAGCTGGGATTGGAAAATAAAACTGACCTTGGCCCAAACCCTCTTGCTCTAAAGCCATTTCTCTTTGTTCCACAATGTGGTCTTGTTTTTAAATGAAAGTTTTTGAGGCCTTCATTGGCAAGCAAACTTTTGCATCTAAGTCAACTGTGTTTGCAAAGTCAGCATTTTGAAAGCATCTAACTTTCAATTAAAATCTTCAAATAGAAGTTCTCAGGCATGAGGCAGAGTTTGCACAAACTCTCTGTCTTCTGACTTTTTCATGCACATTCTCCACAGATTAGTGAAGGAAAATGCCAACTTTTTCTTGCAGCCTTGTTTTCTATCCTGACTACTCTCTACCAGAACTTGCACACAATGTCTGAAACATCTTAACTGGATGGAAAATGCTATATAGAATTCAAAACTACAGGGACTACTTTGGAAAAGTCAAAAGCCACAAAATCTTCCACAAGAGTTTAATTTACGCAGAGATAGGAAAACAAAGCTTCGGTTTCCCCACATAAACTTAAATTTTTCTAACGAAATAATCAAGACAGTATCCTTCTTATATTTCTGTCTCTAGCTCATTTTTTCATTTTTCTTATTGGAAGAATCTAAAGTCTTTCTGTAAGCATTTATACTCACATTTGTACTTAAGAGCTGATTTTATTTTGCTCATTTGGTCTTTCTACAAAGGTTCAAAAGTCAATATAATCCCAGAGTGGAGTTATTGAAATGATGAGAAATTTACATGATTTGATTTGAATACAGCGAGACCTTAAAAAGATCCCTTGACTCAGATTTATCTGGTATAAAGTAAAATGGGCCAGAAGATGACTGTATTGGGTTGTAAATGATGTTTTGTCTATGGTATGTCCCAGGAGACCAGTGTGACCAGTGTTCCAAGCAGAGCTTTGAAGCTGACCATCTCACTAACTAGCTCCATCAGGTTCAGTCATCTCATGTGGTGAAAGCCTTAATCTATATTTCAGTGAATGTATCTATGCACAGGGATATTGCTTTCTGCGTCTTTCTGTCTGACATACATGATATCACTTGAGAGTGAGATTACTTCTCTGAACAAGATTGGTAGGAAAGCTATGTTCTGGAAATCCAAAATGTGGTTACCTTATGTTTGCTAATCCCTGAATTAGCACCCACATCCCTGTAACAAAAAGGCGTCAAACACTGTTGAATGGAAGGAGAAATCTTTTCAAAACATCCTCCAAATATCTTCTTAAAAATGAAGAACTCACCTGGCCATGACAGTGCATGTTCGTAATTCTAGCAATCTGGAGGCAGCATTCTGAGGCAAGAGGATCAAGCCCAGCCTGGGCAACTTAGCAACCTAGTGAAACCCTGTCTCAAAACTTAACAAAAATTAAAAAGGGGTGGGGATGTAGTTCAGTGGGAAGGCCCCAAGTACAATCTCCAGCACCTCAAAGAATGAGAAGGGAGGTGGAGAGAAAGACCTCTTATATTTCTGTGAGGTCATTTTATGTCTTTTGGCATTTATTTCTCTGTTAGGTGCCCTACACTCCTTTTGAAAGAGGAAAATAATAGACTTTCTTTTGGAAGTAGATGAAAAGAATTAGAATCCTGTTAAGAACTTCAAAATAAAAATTATCTATTGGCTAGGCATGATGGTGCACACTGGTAATCCCAGTTACTTGGGATGGAGGCAGTAAGAGTCCAGGTTTGATACCAGCCCTGGAAAACTTAGCAAAACTCTGTCTCAAGATAAAATTTTAAAAGGGTTCATAAGTAAATAAGCTCTAGATGGAGCACTCTCTGGGCTCAATCTCTGGTACAAATAATAGTGATGATGATGATGATGATGATGATGATGATGATGATCTAATTTGACTTCCACCAAATTCTAAGACACTTCTCCCTAGGATTCTTCTAAGGCACTCAAGATTTCTTCCCCTCACTTTAGTACCCTGAGGAGCAAGGAACTCATCATAGTACATTTCACACCGAATAACACAAACTCTTATAATATAGCCAGACCCTAGCTTTCCAGAATTTCCATCATTTGATCTTTATTCTCTCCTCTGGAACAACATAAAATAAATCCAATTAATAATAACTACTGTTTGATAAGCTAACAAAAACTTAGTACTATGGTTATCTATCTTGCACACTTAAACATACATAGTTACATCCTTTAGAGCACTTTCTTTCCCTTTCATTATTATAATATCTATCATACATTTTGGATCTTATTACTCTCTCAGTTTTTATTATTATTTTTATACTAGAGATACAATATATTTACAAATATGAGTCAGATTTATTTTACTTATGAGTATAGTCTCAAGTTGCCTCCATTTAGCTATAAAAGCCTTAAGCTCATCCTTTTTATAGCTGAGTAATATTCCATTGTATAAAAATACCACATCTTTTTCATCCATTCTGCAGTTGATGGGCATTTTGGTTGTTTGCAAGATTTAGCTATTACAAATTCTGCTTCTACAAACATGGTTGCACATGTATCTCTGTGACATGACCTTTTCAATTTTTCTGGGAAAATATTCAGAAGGGGAATAGATGGATTGAATGGAACTTCCAATCCTAGTTTTTTGAGGAATATCCACACTGATTTTCCACAGTGGCTGCATTTGTACTGTCATTGTTTGATTGTCTATCCACTTTTTATGTTCTGATTTTGTAGCTTGAACAACTACTTCTAAGATAATATGTAATTTATCAACTAGTGATTATTTCTACTAGTGTATTATTTGTACTCTTTTCTGTTTTGCTACTTTTCTCTAAATAAATAATAATAATAATAGCTAATTATTAAGTGCCTACCACACATAAGTGCAATTGTCACCCCTTATTCTTTAGAACAACCCTGAACTTGGAAATTGAGTCTGGGAGGACATTAAGTATCTTGGTCAAGATTACTGCATCAGTCTATTTTGTTTGTTGTTGCTGTTATGAAGTAGCTGGGGCAGGCTAACATTATAAATAAAACAGGCTTATGTAGCTGGTAGTGCTGGAGATTGAAAATGGGCTGTAGTAAGGATCTTGTAGATGATGGCAAGAGGACATGCAGAGAAACTGAAGTCTAACAATCCCTTCTAGGAGCACACCCCCAAGTGACCTAAGGATCTTCTACCAGGTACCACCTCTTTATAGATTTCCCCTCCGAATTTTTCCATACTGACCTCCAGGCCCACAAACCCTCAGAAGACAAACTCAAATCACGTCCAAACTACAACAGTCACATAGCCCAGGAAGCACAGAGCTGTCACAGCTACATATCGGTTCCTAACCAGGAAACTGTTCCTCCCCACACAACAGCCCTTCCGATCTTTGAAGATGGTACCCTATGACCCCTTGAGGCTTTGCTTCTTCAGGGCTGACCTCATCAGACTTTCATGGTCTCGTGTGGCCTGGTTCCTTGCTCATTGGCCCATATCCTCTGGGGACTCAGATTACTAAGTATCCTCCCAGCTGAGTGAATTCCCAATGAACTCAGCTTCCCAAAGGTCTTCTCATTTTTAACCATTGCTTGTTTTAATCATAACAGTTTTGCTTCAATAGTTGTTTATAAAAGTCAGTCCAAGCAGAAGAAAATGTGTAGAAACAATAGAACCCGGAAAATAAAAGAAACACTAGCAAAAAGAAATTACAGCATGCCATATTTGAGAATCACTGTTGTTGGGAGAATAGAAAATACTGCTAGGAGATATACTGGGGACCCAAGCCCACACCTCTTATTTGAGTCTTCTTGGCAAAATGGGTGCTACAAAGAGACATCACCCCTCTGACAGAGGCACACCTGCCTCGGACATCCTTCTGAAAAAGCTCATCCCTTCTTCCTCTTACCTCTATCCCAGCTTTGTTTAGATATTTCCACATAATACAGTTTCTGTCGGCAATGACTTTGTATGCATATACAGGATAATTTAAAGTACATCATCGATGGGATTAACATTGTCTTTCCTAAAATGAATCTACTGAGAGAGTTTTACAATCAATTTTACTTTTCTGGTACAGGGGATCAAACTCACAACCTCGAGTTTGCCAGGCAGGCGCTTATGCTACTGGGCTAAGTCCCTGGCACTGTATAATCAATTTAAAATGGTAATTTAAATGATCTTGTGGAGTTTATTCCATGAATGCAAGAAATAGTTCCATAAGAAAATACTCATTCTTATAAAGAACTACATTAAGATAAGAGAAAAACTTACAAGACCATATCCAAGAATGCTGACAGGCATTTGATAATATTTAACACCTATACCTAAATTTTATGCCTGGTAAAAAACAATAGAAGGATATTTTTAACATGAAAAAATGTGATAATATATATTTATACACATATTGAAAGAAATCCATCAATACATACACTACATAATAGGGAAACATTAAAAACATTCCCATGAAAATTTTAAAAGGCAGGGACTAAAAATGTGGCTCAGTGGTAGACTTCTTTGCCTTTCATGCACAAGGCCCTGGGTTCAATCCCCAGCATATATCTCTCTTTTTCTCTTTCTCTCTCTCTTTCTCTCTATCTCTCTCTCTCTCTCTCTCTCTCTCTCTCTCTCTCTCTCACACACACACACACACACACACACACACAAATTAAAAAGGCAAATCAGTATGGTGCCACATACCTAGAATCCCAGCTCTTCTGGAGGCTGAGACAAGAGGATCTTAAGTTTGAGTCCCACTGGGAGACTTAGCAAGAGACTGTCTCAAGTTTAAAAAAAAAAAAAGTTAAGAGCTGTGGAAATAGCTCAATGGTAGATCTCCCCTGGATTCAACCCCTTCCCCCTAGCATGAGAGGAAAATTTAGAAAGGCAAACATGTCTACCATCACTATTATTTAACATTATTCTAAAGGAGGCAGGATTATTCTTTACAAATACTTTTTTTAACCTAGAGAGCCTAAGAAAATCTACAAAATCTACAGTGAGATATAGACATTAAAACAGTAACAATCAGACCAGGCATGATGGTACACACCTGTAATCCCAGCACTCAGGAGTCTGAGGCAAGAGGATCGAGTTCGAGGCCAGCCTGTACCGCATAGTGAGTTCAAAGCCATCCTGGACTACACAGTGAGATCTTGTCTCAAAAAAAATCTTTTAGAGTAAGTGTGAAAGAATGGGCCCCATTTACAATATTAACAACAAAAATAAAATGCTTTGAAAACGAGCTAATAACAAATATGTAGGATTTATGTGAATTTATGTCCAGATGTGGAGAATGGAAAAAAATCCCACTATGTTCTTTAATACATAATCCCCAGGAACATAATGATATGAATTTTCCTTTTAAAAATATCTTTAAATTTAAAGCAAGACCATTAAAAATTTCAATAAGAAGTCAGGTGCAGTGGTGCATGCCTCTAATTCCTGCTACTCAGAAGACTGACTGAGGAGGGTTGCAAATTCAAGGCCAGCTGGGACAACTTAATAAGACTGTCTCAAAATTTAAAACACAGGCAGGAGGTTAGAGATGAAGGTCAATGGTAGAGCATCCCTACATTCAATCCCCTGTACCACAAAAGAACCCCACAAATGTGTATGTGTGTGTGTGTGTGTGTGTATCAACAAGGCTTTTCATAGAGACTTGACAAATTGTTTCTAACATTGTCTCAGAAAAATAAGAATAGCTATCAAAATTCTGCAAAGGAAAAGTATCAAAGAAGAGCTATAGATAATAGAGTGAGACTGTAGCCGGTACAACCCCTATAATGGGCACTCGACAAGATTTAACAAAATTCCAGGTGCACGTGCTCTTCAGTGCCAACCCGGTATCTTCTAGGAATTTACCCTATGAATATGCTTGTACTTATGCAAAATTATGAATACAAAATATATTCCTTGCAGTATTATTTGTGATCCAATGAATTAGAAACATCAAATGTCCAATTTAGCAAACTGATTAAGTAAACACAGAATGCTCATATAGTGGAATTCTACAGCAGATATTAAAAAGAAAGGCACAGATATAGATACGCGACTTTCTCCTAAGTATTTGGTTATATTACCAAAGGAACAAAATGCAGAACATGTATCTTTTTTAAAAAAATAATAATCCATGGAATATCTGTGAATAAAGGCAGGAAGTATAAGGAGAACAGTATCTGGAGAGATGATCCGAGAGGTTGGGAAATAACGCTGGGAAGGAGAATACAGACCTCTTAATGTGTTTTGAAGTGGGTGCTTTCTGCATGTATTACATAACCAAGAAATAAATTAATACTTTCTAAAGAACAGTGATAAAGTCAATTCATAAAGGCATTGAGAAATAAAATCGGTTTTATTCTTTATCGAAACTAGTTCTACAAAATTGCCCA